TCAAGGCTAGCGCTCTACCACTTGAGCCACAGCGCCACTTCTGGCTTTTTTCTTTTTTGCTTATGTGGTGCTGAGGAATGGAACCCAGGGCCTCAGGCCTGCAAGGCAAGCGCTCTACCACTGAGCCTCCTTCCCAGCCCCTCCCTTGGCTTTTTTATTTGCGTTAGTTCTCTACCACTCAAGCCATAGATAGCTTCTGTTCCAGCTTTTTGAAGGTGATTTGGAGATGAATCTCGTACTTTCCTGCCTGGACTGGCTCTGAACCTCAGTCTTCACATCTCAGCTTCCTGATTAGCTAGGATTACAGGAGTGTGCCACCAGTACCCAGCAGTTTTCTCGTCTCTTAAATGAAAATAAGAAAAATCTTTTCTTCTCATTGTCAGTGGGAGGCATTCCATGAAATACTCCTTATAACAAACAATGATTCGTGTGGCAGTGCTGACAGAGCTACTGTTACTGACCAGACTCCTCTGGGTGTGCTTCAGCTGATCAGAGGTGAAGGGGGCAGACCCAGGCTCCAGGACCTGGCTGTGGTTTAGGACAATGTCAGTCCACTGAGCAAGGGCGTCCTGGGTGCCTCCTGGACGCCAGCACTGCCCCCGGCACGCACTGCTCAGCGGGACCAACAGGCAAATCCTGTGGTCGTCTTCTGCTGACTGCACACTGGGAAAATGGTGTATGCTGGAAGACGGGTCGTTTGTGAATGGCACATGCAACATCTGACCTAATGAGCCTTCTTAGAGGCCGAGGATCCTGCGCTTACAGACTTTCCAGAGTTCACAGAAAACAAAGCAGGTGGAGGTGCCTCCGTTTTATCCCAGTAACATCAGGCAGGAGGCTGCTCCTCACCGAGCGGCAGACTGCAGTCAGTGGCATGTTCCCTCTGCCACCCCTCCACAGCCGTGAGAGCCTGCTCTCGGGTCTGTGCTGTTTTGCGTGAACCTGCTCTCAGGTCTGTGCTGTTTTGCTCTTCTCTGTTCAGCTTCGAGAGAAGCAAGCATACGTGGAGAAAGTTGAGAAGCTGCAGCAGGCCCTGACCCAGCTGCAGTCGGCATGTGAGAAGCGAGAGCAGATGGAGCGTAGGCTGCGGACCTGGCTGGAGAGGGAGCTGGATGCCCTGAGAACCCAGCAGGTGAGGGGCCAGGGTCCGTCCCCCGGGAGGTACCGCGGCCAGGGCTGCACTCTGCGCCGGGCTCGGCGCGATCTGTGTCCTCTCCCCGTGCAGCGTGAGGTTCTGGTGGCTTCCTGTGCATGACCAAGCAGTGCTGTCTGCTCTGAGAAGGTAACTTGCCTCCCGCGGAAAGAAGAGGAGAATGTGCTTCAGATGGCACCATCCTCTTGGTGCAGACGTGATTGCCCGTGACAAGATTCTGCCACATACAGCTTGCTCTCCCTCTATCCCCCTAGAAAACGTGCTCAGTTCACACTGTAACAACACCGCTTTGTCTCTGCCTTCCCCGAAGAGGAAGTGAGACCAGCTTCCCTGACCCTCCGGCATTATTCTGGAGAGACTTGGGCATGTCAGAGAACTCTGGGGGTCAGTACCACACCGGTGCTGTGTCAATGGCTGAGGCCAGGGCCCAGCCAGGGCTTTCCACCTGACATTCTAAGATCAGTGAGCGCACCACTCTTGCAAGGTGTGCTGGACACACTGGAGGGGGTCAGAATGGCAAGGAATCCTGTCTTCACTGGAAGCACAGGTTCCAGAGCTAAACTGAGGGCAGAAAACAGCCATGGGTAAGTGATCTCTGCAATCACAATGTCCTTGTCCTTGTCACAAGGTCCTAAGGACAACTGAGAAAATCTTCAGGAGTTCTCCCCACAGTGGATGAAGAAAGGCCATTCTCACCACTGTTGTTAACATCAATGCTGTCAGAGTCATTGAAGCCCTAGAGTGTTCTTGATATCCTCTTCCAGACTCTTCATTTACCCGACTTCTCTGCTGAGGAGTGGAGTAACAGGTAGAGAGAAAAAGAAGTCCACACAGTAGGGACTAGCAGCAAGGAAACTGAACTCACAGTTCTGTCACTAAAAGTTATCTCCTGTACCAGCAGTGATGTAGGGCCATGTCAGGAACTGGAAGGAAACAAAGAAAAACAAGTAATTCCTTTTTTTTTTTTCTTTAAATAAAGGTGATGGACAGAGGTTACAGTTACATAAATCAGGTAGTGAGTACATGAGTCGCCCCTTGCTTCACGCTCTCTCCTGGTTTTTCCCTCCTGCTTACACCCACAGGTGTGTGGTTCAGCCTCAGCATATTATTGAGAGGGTACCGCTGCTCGTTTGTTCACCCTTTCCCTCCATTTCTGTTCTCCCTTTGCCCTCCCAAAGACAGATAATGAACACAAAACCATTCTCAAGAACTCACAATTGTATCTTAAAAAACCCACCAACACAGACCTTAAGGTCGTTGTCATTTCTTTTATAGTCATCTGTGAGGTAGAAGGGAAACAGTGACAGTGTTTTGAGGGAGAAGAGGGAGGCCAGGGAGGTTGAGGCCAGCCGGAGGTCATGTGGCTCATCAGGACATTCCCTGATGTGGGGACAGACAGAGCTGTGGGTTTTACTGCGGTGTCCCCAGGGCATGCCTGGCACACAGCAACTGTGGCCCAGCTCAGTGGGTGTCAGACATTGTCTTGCCTGACCTTCAGTTCGATGTTCTGATCAGCATAGGTCCTTGTGGAAACAGTGCGCTCTCTGTAAGCTTGAATGCTGATATTCCAGGTTTATGAAGTAACCTTTGGTGACAGTGAAGAGTTGTTCTGATCTCATGAAAAGTCAAGAGGATGCTGAAAAAGTAAACTGCTTTGGTGGCCACTAGATAGGAAATGACAAGCATAAATAGCAGCGTAAGGAGGCTGTGGCACTTTCTTGGAAAGTGTCTAAAAATAGAGGTCTTTTCATCTTGATGGCCTGGTCCATCTGTCCTACCTGAGTCTGGGTCCTGTCCAAATGGGATCGGCAGCTTCCTCACCAGGTCAAGTAAGGACAGGTGCCTTCTGCTGTTTTCATTCAGTGTTGGACACTGGCTAGCTGCCACTTCCTAGAATAACACATATTTGGAGGCTTCGTAGAATAGAAGCACCCGGTACAAAGAGCCTAGGCCTCCATGCACTTACTCCGACGAGCCGCTCAGCTGTCAGCTGCTGCTCTGGGTGATTCATGGCTTTGCTAATGCGTTTAAATACTTCTCACATCCTGCAGTGGCTCTGCATTTAACGTGTGCAGCCCCTGGGACTGGGGAGGGAGGGGTACCTGTCTCAGGATGAAGTAAGGGGCCTGGCCCACATTGAGACAGAGGCCTGCCGAAGCCCGAGACCCTGAGAGGGCCCGTCTCTACCTCTGGGCTGGAGCTGGAACCGCCTCAGAACCAGCACTCTGGCTCTGCTTGTGAGCAGTCTCGGTAAATCAACTGTATTTCCTTTTACTGACAGAGATGAAAAGAAGGGACAGAGAATGAGTTTTCTGTGCCTTAGGGATGATGTGCTCTCACGTCCTGCAGGTCTAACATCCCACTGCAGACGAGAGCCTTGCTGGGTGCAGGCATCTCACTCCCACATCTGTGCCTCCATTTTATCTCCCACTCAGAGGAGAAACAGAGCAACTGAGTCTGCTCTCAGGATGCTAGAGAAAGTGCTGAGACCAAGAAGCCAAGACTTAATTCATTGTTGTCTCTGGTATAAGCCAACAGCAGTCACTTCTTAGAACTTTGAGGCTGTGGAGCCAGACTGGAGTTTGAATCCTGACTACTGCAGATTAGCTTAGAGACACTGGTGGTTAATCCAGCTTCTGCAGAATTAGATAATGCCTGGTTTCATAGCTGAGTGAGTAGTATTAGGTGCGACTAGACGGATGAGGAGGTGTGCGTTAGGGTCATGTAGTCATACACACTGGAGCCCTGCATGGACTCGCGATCTGGAAGGGTATGTTTGCTCTGTGCAGTTAACTGCACACAGGGTTGCTGTGGCCTTACAGACATTTTAAGCATCGGGCATTGTTTCTGCTTCTCCAGAAACATGGAACTAGCCAGCCCGCCAGCGTTCCAGAATGCAGTGCCCCTGCCCTCGTGGAACTTGTGCGGGAGAAGGAGGAGCGGATCTTGGCCCTGGAAGCTGACATGACCAGGTGGGAGCAGAAGTACCTGGAGGAGAGCACCATCCGCCACTTCGCCATGAGTGCGGCGGCGTCCGCTGCAGCCGAGCGGTGAGCATTGTGCGCTCAGTCAGTACCCAGACAGCACCCCAGAGGAAGAGCTCTGCAGATCATTGCTTTTTGTAGGCTGTAGGCTAAGCCAGGCACTGGTGGCTCACACCTTTAATCCTAGCTACTCAGGAGGCTGAGATATATGAGGATCAGTTTAGGAAAGTCTATGAGACTTGTCTCCAAAAAATCCAGAAGTGGTGCTGTGGCTCAAGTGGGAAAGTGCTAGCCTTGAGCAAAAGGGGCTCGGGGACAGCACCTAGACCCAGAGTTCAAGGCCAAAACCAGCAAAAAAAGTTGCAGGCTAATTGGGAGAACAACAAATAAGGGTATAACAAAGCTTGACAAAAAATGTATTCATTACGCCAGGCACCGGTGGTTTACGCCTGTCATCCTAGCTACTCAGGAGGCTGAGATCTGAGGATCAGTTCAAAGCCAGCTGGGGCAAGAAACTCCCTGATACTCTTATCTCCAATAAACTACTCAGAAGATTGGAAGTGGGCTGTGGCTCAAGTGGTGGAGTGCTCGCCTTGAGCTGAAGAGCTGAGGGACAGCGCCCAGGCCCAAGTTCAAGCCCCACAACTGACAAAAAAGAAAAAGAAAAGTACTTATTACCTTACTCATGTAATTGCAATCCCTCTGTATGGCATCTTTACAATAAATTTTTTTTTAAGTTGTAGGCTAGATGAAGAGCGAGGTGATGTAACATTTCTGGAGGATAATTGACAGTATGTACCTTGTTTTTAGTAAGATTCTAGTTCCTGACATCTGTTTAAGGTTTCATTATGAATGTCCCAGGCGTTAATCCCACTGTGGTCAAAAATATCAATGCATTTTAAACAGCATCAAGTCTAATGAGACCCACTTAATAACCTGACATCCATTCACACTGTGGAATTCCACGTCATCTTTAAGAACATTCTGTGATTCCTGCACCATGGTGCTATGTCACGTAATCCTCATGGCAACCCTGAGAGCAATACTCCTTATTTATAAGTGAAGAAAACAAGTGGTTGGTTCCACACTGTGGTGGACCCTGGGCCACCTGAGATGTGATTCACTTTCCTGGGGATCCTTCCCCGATGATGTCAGTGCCCACTTTCATTGCTTTACTTTCTCTCTGTAGGCACATAGCCTAATTCTTCCTGTAAATGCTTGCTTAGAGTACTGCAATCCACAAAGCTAAGTCACAAAGAAGTGTCTAAATCAGCCACGCGGTTCTCCTTGGTCCTAGGGGGCTGGACCCCAGCAGTAGACATTGCTGCCCTCACATAGGGTCTTGGATGCCCCTCCATGGCCAGCCTTTTCTTCATTTGTCTTTTGCCTAGAGGTCAGGTTTAGATGCTTGAAATCACCAAAGCTTTAGGATCTGTATATTTGAGGGAACCCTCCAATTTCAAAGGGGCTCCCACAAAGCTGTAATCCTGGCTACTCAGGAGCCCGAGAACTGAAGGTTGCAGTCAAATCCAGCCTGGTTAATTAAAGCTAGAGTCCCTTGGACTTTTCTGCACAGGCTGACTTTGAATTCCAGTTCTTTAGATCTCAGCTTCCTATGTAGCTAGGGTTACATGAGCCATCAATGCAGGAGAAGGGTGAAAGGCAGAAGAAGCATAAAACTATCACGTACAAGGATGATGAATCTGCAGGTGTCCATCTCTGCACATTCATAACCTGCCACAGAGCATAATACCCCATAGAAAGGGCAGAGGAGTTTTATTTTTGAATGCCATTTTGCTTTCTTTAGACACTGTTGTAATTCTGACTAGAGTTGGGAAGACAGGAACTGGTGAGGTGTGTGTGGGGAGCTTTGGGGGCATGGTGCCCTTCGGTTGCTCCTCCTGGGCACTGCCACCTCTCTGTCCTGGCGTCTGTGGGGCGGGGCTGGGTTGAGAAGTGGAGACAGGAGGCAGGAGGCCTTTGGGCTCCAGAAGAGGGTGAAGAGCAGAAAGGCTTCCTCTCCGTTGTGCCTCTGCGCCGATTCCAGCGAGGCTTCTGTGATGTGTGCTGTGTTCCAGGGACACCACGATCGTCAACCACTCGCGGAATGGCAGCTACGGCGAGAGCTCTCTGGAGGCCCACCTCTGGCAGGAGGAGGAGGAGGTGGCTCAGGCCAGCAGGAGGTGTCAGGACATGGAATTCACGTAAGGGACAGCAGCGTGGCGCTGGCCACCGGCCTCCTCCTGGCCACTGGCCTCCCGTCTCCTGTTGTCCTCACTGTCCAGCCAGCTCTTCCAGAGATTCTCTGCCCTGCTCTGGGGGGCCATGAACTGGAGAGCTCCAGAAACTCCCATCTGCCTGGGGGGAGAGGGTTCACGACTAAGCCAGTTGCCCCAGTGCTTTTTGTGGGGATAATTGCAGATCAGCGCCAGGGCTGAGATGGAGGCTGTTTCATGACAGAGCTTAGATGTCCATGTTAGCTCTGGGTATTCCACAAGCTGGAAAGGAGAAACAGTCATCTCAGTGACCAGAGGTTTTAAGCCAGAGTTTATGTTTTTTTCAGTGAAAGATGTAAGCTAGGTGCTGGTGGCTCACACCTATAATCCTAGCTACTCAGGGGGCTGAGATCTGAGGATTGTCATTCAAGGCCAGCCCTGAGACTCTTATCTCCACTAAACGACCAGAAAACTGGAAGTGGCTCTGTGGCTTAAAGTGGTAGAGCGCTGTCCTTGAGCAGAAGAGCTGAGGGACAGCACCCAACCTCCAAGTTCAATCCCCAAGACGGACAAGATAAAGACATGTTAGCGAATGCCCTCTTCTGATGGGTTTTGGGTTTCCAGCAGACTAACAGCAGTCACTGGCTTTCCCTGCGTGACTTGGCCTGAGGAGCCCTGGGCACCCTGAGCTTCTGAGTGCTGATGGAGAAGGGAGGCTGTGTGGTGGGCCAGTCACGGCCAGGGCCACGCAGAGAATGCAAGCGTGTTCACTGCTCTCACGAGGAGAACTTGTCTTCCTCCAGAAGCTGCCCATTCTTCCTTTCTTCCCCCTTAGGAAAGACAGGGTGGAAATTTGCCCTGTTTGGGGGCCAAAGAGTTTGTGTGCTATCCCATCCCCCGCCAGCCCCCATTCCAGACCTGCTAAGTGTGGTCCCTGAGCCGTGGTCCAGGGCAACCTGAGTGTGGGGCCTGGCTGTTCTCACTACCCCCCCCCCCCGCCTCCTGAGGCCTAGAACCTCCCTCAGCGCCGGAGAAGGGCAGGGCTAAGCCTCACCTGAAACAGTTTGGCGGTGGCAGATGTTTGAAGATGTGAACAACACTTGAATTCCATCACCAAATTACAGTTAAAGTCCCTCGGACAGCCTGAGAGGAATGTTAGTTTTCTAACCAAATGGTATTTCATGAGGATTATTTTGTTTTGCTTTGATTTTAGTATTAAAAATCTCCATGCCAAAATCATAGAGAAGGATGCCATGATAAAGGTCCTCCAGCAGCGATCCCGAAAAGATGCCGGGAAGATGGACCCTTCCAGCCTGCGGCCTGCCCGTTCTGTGCCGTCCATCGCAGCCGCCGCCGGGACCCACTCGCGCCAGACCTCCCTGACCAGTGGCCAGCTGATCGAGGAGAAGAAGGAGGAGAAGACGTGGAAGGGGAGCGTAGGTGAGCGCACCCTCCCTCAGCCAGGCTCGTGAGAGCAAGGCCACTGAGGAGCCAGCGCGGTGTCCGCCCTAGTGCACTGCAGATGTCTGCGTCTCCTCCTCAGTCACACTTAGGTTGTGGGAACGCCCTGAGACATGGCGAAGGCTGTCAGTTCTAAAAGGGTTTCCAGCAGAGTCTTCATCTGTCATGTGTGAGTGTGAACACTGGGTTGAACGTGGGCCCTCTCCTCCGTTTTTCCACTCGCCCCAAGATGCCCAGGGCATCTCTGCCTACACCCAGGATTTGGCAGGCCCACAGCGGGGAGCTGAGGACCTTGGCCTGAAGGAAAAGCTGCTGTGTTGTCTGCAGCAGTATTCCCCTTGTTGCTATAATTGGTGTCCAGGTATCAAAAATGGGAGAGAGCCTGAGGGCTCTGCCTTCCCCCCGTCACCTTATCGAAGGCCTTGGGAGGAGAGGGAGGCACAGGTCTGCCCCCTGGCTGCTCAGCACGCTCAGGAGATGGCTGGCTAGAGGCTGTTCACCTTGTCACCTACTCAGGAGTACCTGTCAGCCTTCCACGTTAACACACAGCCTGAGGAAGTAGAAAGAACGCGGGCTGTGCTCCACAGCGGGTTTACACCACAGCCCGTTCGCCTCCCATTATCGCTACTTCTCAGCTGTGAGACGTTAGTTTCTCGGAGCTCCCATTTTCTTCTCTGTTGGAGAATAAGAGCATGTTGTGTACTTCAAAACGAGATACATGCGAAGCACTAGGCAAAGACTTTGCTGCTCAAAACAGTCCACAGGTACTCGGCATGGGCATCGCCTAGGGGCCAGTTAGGAAGGCAGGATCTCCATCCCCAGAGCGACGCCCAACCTCCACTTTAACCTTACAGCCAAGTTACATATTTAAGAAGTGGGCCCTGGCACGGGTGCTTTATGAATGGCCGGCTTCTTAACAAGATGAATGAACAAGTTTTTCCTATCGACTTTAGCTCTGGAGTGCTAGCACTTTCCTGAATGTGTGCTGTGTTTGAGTGCTCAGGTCCAGCTGTGTGGGAAGCGTTTGAGGAAAGTGAATTCTGCTACACACCATCTCCTTTTTCTATAGCCAGTATATCTTCTTTCCTAGCCCACCCTTGCCGCAGGACTTCTCTTGAGTCGGGCTGGCTTTCTGCTGTGTGGGAGCCTACCTCTTCACCAGAGAGGTCTGGCTCACAGAATAACACACACAGCTCAGGGGCTGTGGGAGACCCGTCCCTCCCCTACCTGTCCAGAAGGCAGGAGGTCAGTGGGAACACACACAGGACCAGAGAAGCATTCTAAGTCTTCTGAAGCACAGGATTTCTGTCTGGTCCTGCTGCATAAGACAGGACCAGAGAAGCATTCTAAGTCTTCTGAAGCGCAGGACTTCTGTCCAGTCATGCTGCATAAGACAGGACCAGAGAAGCAT